ATATCATATGTAATGCACTCTCTCCAATTTTTTGTTTGTTTTTATTTATACCATATGTAATGGACTCTCTTCAATTTTTCTTCTACCTCTGCCATTTTCTCCTGAAGCTGCTACTTTTTTACATGGTGGAACTCAAACCACTTTAATCTTTTTTTACAAACATTGTTCAATACAATGTTTTTTTAAATCTTTTTCTTAGATGATAGCTCCTTTCCTTGTCTTGTTAAAGTCATACTTTACATCGATATAATCATCATCTTCTCTTTTGGCAAATACTTCACCATAAAAGTACTAAAGTTTATACAAATATGTAAAGATATTGTATGCCAGTGTCTAAGTTTGCATAAATGTACCTCTTACCTAACCTCCTGGATCCAAGCAGGTATGGAAGCTTTTATGCAAGAAGTCAACATTAAAAGGTCCAGTCTGATGCTAAATCCATTATTCTCAGTTTATTAAATCTTGTATCTTATTTCAGATGTTAGAGTCTTTTAAAAAACAGTGTTCTTTAACAGTGTTATTAGCTATAAGTCTAAAATTCCATTTCTAGTTTATGAGTCTGATCTTATTACTCCTAATAATAGAGTTATTTGCAAAGAACTTCTCCTCTAAATCATTCTTTGGATTCTTAATTTTAATCTTCTATGGCTTGTGGTTCAGAAAACATTTTTCATCATAGTATTACAAAAGTATTTTTCAGAAATCTCTTTATTACTACACTATATGTTCAAATATTTAAAAACTCTAGAAAACACTTTGAACTCTCCAACTATTCTTTGATAAATCTTCTCTCCAGTATTAGTTTCTTCATATAAGGTCCACACTTTTCTTCATTTCAAGTAACTTTAGGAGTATCGCAAGGTTTTATCTTTGCTCATGTGTTGTTTCTTATCTACAATATCTCCTGTAACAGTTTGGAGCATGCAGTGATTTGTGGATTTTAACTCTAAAAAAACTCTAACAACTATCACAATATTGTTGACATTTCTATATTGACGAATATAAACCCTCTTATTCTCAGACAAAGTACAAAAGCACATTGTAAATGTAGCTGGATCTGCTTTTTCTACCATGGTTGAGTAAATTTATGCATAAATTTATAATATGTAAAGTATTATAAGTTTTTTCGTTGCCCTAACTATCAACCCCTGCTAAATCTTATAATTTTTCTGAAACCGGGTTTGTAAAAAGTCCCATTTTTAGTCAGGACTGGGACTCCAGTCACTTACTAGTATTATGTATTGCTTAAAGGTTCTCTTCAATAATGATGTGCAATTGCTATATTCACACTTTATTATCAGTTTTCTTGTCTTTTTTATATTTCTTTTAGTAGTCTTTTTTATATCTCTTTTAGTAAAATGATGGTTAGATAAATTGGTGTTTTAATCTGTTAGTATAATCATGGTTTGATAGATTTATGTTTTGGTCTTTTAGTATAATGATGGTTAGATTGGCAGCGTGGAAAATAAGGAATTGAAGGCCATCGGTCAATTTGACCGGCCAACTCATAGAATTGACAGTCAATTGTTTTTTTTGGACGGTCAAAAAAATTTTTTTTTTACTTTGTTTAAATCTTAGTAATCTTGGCAACGGGTCGTTAAAGCGAAAAGATATTAAAACGAATTTACTTTTATAATATAATATAGCCTAGTTTTTATTTTTTTTTTTAAATTTTTAAAAGTTTTAAATTACTAAATAAATAAATATTTTATCAACAATTTAATATTACTAATTTTAATACTTTTAAGTTTATTTAAATATATAAAAAAATAGTTTTTATTAAAAAATTATTCTTATAGTTAAAGTTTGCTAATAGAAACCAGTAACTTTTTCTCTTTTTTTTTTTGCTTTAATGACCCCGAAACCGTTCTTCATGACTAAGCTTTATAAATCAAAAATAAAAAAGTTAAGGCCTGAAGGGATATAGTTTGAAGAATAAAAAATTGTTTTAATTATAACAATTTTAAGTAAAATCAATGCTTTTTTTAAAAGCGTAAACAGGCAATTTTCAATTTTTAATTTATTAAAAAATAACTCATTTTGTTGCAATGACTATGCAATGGTGGGAAAAGATTGAATGAAAAAAAGTACAGTTGAGATTATGTTCTTAATTACATATAATAATTTCGAATAATAATAAAATAAATCTCTGGAGTTAAAGAAGAAAAACTTTCGCACATTTTATATCTCTTGCTCATTAAAAACATTTCAAAAATGTTAATTAGTTAATAATAATGTTAATTAGTTAATAATAATGTTACTAACTCTTTTGTTTGCAACTTGAACTGTTTAAACTGAATGTTTAATACTTTAAATAATTTTAAATAGTCTTCTTTGTATTAAACAATTTATTTAATGAAACAAATTTTATATTTTAAAATAATAAACAATTAGTTTAATAAAACACTAAGCCTTCCCAGGAAAGGCGTGCAGTTTTTCATCTTGTATGACCACGAAAACGTTTTTCAAGTTAGAGAAAGTGATCACGGCCGTTTGCGCAAGTTATATATATGCGTTACTGAAAAATTGTTTTAAATTTAATAACTACATAAAAAATTAAAGTACAATAATAATAATTTAAATAATTTGTGTGTTGTTTTTATTTTTGTTTTTTCTTAGTGGTTATTATTATCGTCAACAAACTTCATTAAGTCAAAGCAAAAAAAAAAAAAAAACGGTTTTAGGCGTTAAAAAGGATGACTTTCCCATATTTTATGTGTTTTTCTTTTAAAGAGGAAAGAGAAAATATGTATTGTCATCTGTTTGTAAAATATATTTGTATAATTATAATGTAACAAGTTTATATCAAGAGTTAAATTATACGATCACGATTTGCAATAATTAGGTCTTGAAAATTTTAGTTCATGCAAAGCTGAACTAAAATTTTAAAGACCTAATATTTTACCAGAGTTTGCAAATCGCCTTATCTAATTTTGTTTCTGAATGTAACTCTAAAGAAACAAAAATAAAAACAGTACAAAAATTATTTAAATTATTAATTTGTTTTTATTTTTTTCTATTTCAATCTCTTTTTATTTTGTTAGTTTTTTGTTTTTTTTGTTTTTGAAACTTTTTCAGCATTATTATAAAACTCGCAAACGGCCGTGTTCACGTTTTTTAAAATAATATAATTGCGTGTGGTCATACGAGACGAAAAACCGCACACCTTTCCTGGGAAGGCTTGAAACACTATAAAAATTGTTAAATTTACATAAAACGAGATTTTTAATAAATCTCTATAAATTTTTTAATAATCCTGTTACATAAAAAAAAAAGCGCTGGCGCTCAATTAATAATTTTTAATTTATCTATAAACCATTCATTCATTTATTTGCAATTTGCTGCAAAACTTACGAGAGAATAAATAATAAGACTTAGAGAAAAATAAAACAAATTAAGTGCAAATAAAAGAAAAATTGTTCATAGTTAAAAACATAATTTATTTTATATTGTTATATTATTAACAAAATAAAACATAAATTTTTTATATTAAAATAAGTAATAAAGTAAGAATTTCAATCATTAAAAAAAAAGGATTTTTACGAAGAAACAAAAAACTTATGATTATAAGTTTAGGTTGTTACATATACGTTATGTAAGTCTTGAGTAATACATTCAACAGAGAGAATTAATGCAGGAAAATTACTGGTTTCTATTAATATGCAATAAATATTAGAGAAGTTTTGACAACGATAAATTTTATATGTACTCGAATATATTATAGGTAGCAGAATTAATAATTTTAAATTATTAACTTTTAATTATTGAATTATATTGATTTAAATTATTAATAAGTTTTTAATTTTAATTTTTTGAATTATATTTATAAAAAATTAATTTATTTAAACATTTTGAAAAGAAAGATAAAAACCAGGCAATATTAAAAATAAAAGAATTAAAGAAAAAATTATCTTTAACTTCTATTCGCTTTCAAACTTTTCGGTTTAACGACCAACTAGCAATTAAAGTAGCGTATCATAAACAAGAAAACTGTTTAAAACCCTTTTTCAAAATTGAAATAGTTTATCAAAATTTTATTATATGCATTTTCCAAATAACATTCTGATTTTTTGTCAAATCTTGTTTTAAATCTCTAATTTGTTTTGGTCAACCATGACCGACAACCATGACAACTGGTCAACCATGACCGACAAGAATTCATTTTGGGAGGTCAAAATAACATTTTTAGTCATTTCAGGCGGTCCTTGATTGTTGACCGGCCGTTATTTTCCACACTAGGTTGGTGTTTTGATCCCCATTCAATCAATTTAAACTCATTTTTGTGATAACTTGATGTAGAGTTTAGTTAGTTTTGATGTTGTAAGTTTTGATGTTGGATGTTGTGAGTTGCACAAATTATTTATTTTATAATTGTATAAATTCATTATTACATGCTGTTTTTAATATTTTTATGCATAATATGTTATTATTTCATTAAAGTTTGTTTAGCAATATTTCAATCCAAATTCATCAATATATCATCATTTAATATTTATAGAAAAAGATTAGACTTATTCAACCTCCATTAACTCACTTATTCAACCTATTAACTCAATCCTCCATCATCAGTTGTTTCTCATCTTTAAATATATGAACTTGATAGTTAATAAAATTCTTGTAGTTCTTCTACAAGGTGCGTTTAACAATCCGTTTTACAATCGTTTAAAATTCTTCTACAAGGTGCGTTTAACAATCCTTTGATATCTATGTAGTTCTTCTACAAGGTGTGTTTAACAATCCTTTGATATCTGTGTAGTTCTTCTACAAGGTGCGTTTAATAATCCTTTGATATCCATTATAATTTCCATATCCAAAGATTTTAGATAATTTCCAGTTTAGGAAACTTATTTTTAGAAGTATTGTTATGCTTTTAAATGTAATGTATTATTTAATTTGTAATATCTTTGTTATCATTTTATTATTACTTAAAATATTAATATATAAAAGAAGAATTGGTTTTGAATACATTTTAGATAATAACATGGTATAATATATTTTAGATTTTAACATTTTTAAATGATGAAGTGGCTAGTTCATCAATGAATGTTGTGATTTTATTGAAGATGCTTTATGAGCGTAATTCTTTTTATAACGTATTCCTTTTTAATTATATGTATTTAAACACACACACAAATATATATATATATATATATATATATATATATATATATATATATATATATATATATATATATATACACACAAACACACACACACAGATATATATATATATATATATATATATATATATATATATATATATATATATATATATATACAAATATACATATTAGGGTGCGACAGCTGCCCACAAAATATTAATTTTTTGCCAAAGAAGGCTTGGCCAGGAAAGCGTGCGATTTCTTGCCATAACATGACCACACAAAAATACTATATTTTAATGATTTGACCATGGTTTTTAACATTTTAAAAATGCACTAAAATAAATGGTTTTTAGTTACGTTAAAAATAAATAACTTCGACTTGTTTATCTTTACTAACGTTTTTATATCAGCAAAACGCTTTTAAATGAAGTAACTAATGGTTTTAATTAAAGTATAAAATAGAAGTTGTATAAATTTTGATTTATATTATTAATTTTTTTGATTTATATTATTAATTTTTTATTATATAAGAATTTTTTTTTCAAAAAAATTCTTATATAATAAAAAGCATTTAAAAAATAAATAAATTTTATAAGCGACAATTTTAAAAATAATTGTCTCTTTGATAAACTTTGTATAAGAATCATAAATAATTTTAATTTAATAAATAATACACTCAAAGAGAAGAAAATTTTTGTTGAGAAGAAAAAAAAAGATACGTTTTTGAAAGCCGTTTGATTTAAATAAAGTAACAAATCTGCTAATGTAAGTATTAATGTCATGTATAATTTTTTATAGTTATGTTGTATTTATATTTATATATAAAAATGGGTGTGTAAATTTTATATATGTACTTATATATAAGTATATCATATTTTTTTATAGTTATATAAGTATGTATTTTTTATTATAATTGTCTTTAAATAAAAAAATTATTTCATCTTTGTAAGGATTTAATTATTTTTTTTTGTTCACTTTACTGTGAAGAATTGTTAAACATTTTTTTTTTAATTTCAAATGTGAGTATTTATTAAACAATCGTTAGATGTAAGTTATTACTTTATTTAAAAGGGTTTCGCATAATCAACCCTCGGAATTTGGGTTGGCATGCCTTCTTGGCCAAAATATATATATATATATATTTTGATATATATATATCAACCCTTGGAATTAGGGACGGCATTCTGCAATCCTGACATAACTGCTGACCTTAAAGTATTTGAGGTCGACTTTGTTTCTATGTTTTATGGTAACCCCTTTGTGTCAAATTTTGTTTGCTGACCTAATGCCAACCTCTAACAGTTTAAGTTTGTATATATATATATATATATATATATATATATATATATATATATATATATATATATATATATATATATATATATCAGGCTTTCCCAGGAAAGGCGTGCTTGTTTGTCCACGCATAGAATAAATTTTTCAGAAAATGTGACCACGGCAATATTTCGTGGGTAAGCGAAACTTATCCACAGAGAATAAAAAATAATATTAAAAAAAGGAAACAAAGTATAAAATTGAAATTGGATGTAAGAAAAATATTTTAATAATAAATAAAAAATTAAAAAAAAAAAAATTCTTGTAACAAAAAAAAAAGTCTTAAACATTTTTTTCAAAATTTTTATACTGTTTTTTTTTTTTTTTTGTAAGGGCTGCTATTTTCAGCTACGAAATTTGTTACAAGTCAAGGAAAAGACGACTATAAGTCATTAAGTTTTCATGAAAATAAAAAGACTTGATACGTAATTTATTCACAAACTTTATCAGACAACGTATTAAAAAACTGATTCATTATTTACACTAGACAAATTTAGTTAAATTTTTTCATTTAATTTAGTTTTTACGAAGGTTTATGCAAAAGTGATGGCGTTATTCCCCAATACTTAGACAAGAAAATAAATTGCTGTTTTAATTATTAAATATATTATTTGAGATTTTAAACATAACAAAATTTTAATGTGAAAAAAGTTCTCTCGACTTATTCTAAACTGATTATACTGAGTCAATGCTTGCCTTTTATTACGTTGAAATTATTCAATTGCATAATTTTGTAATTACGAAAGAAGTTAAAAAAATAACTGCATTGCTTCTGTTGTCATTGTTATGAAAACAGTTCCTTCGGGACATTATTATATATTAACACTTGTTCACAATGTCAATTAATGATTGCAAAATAAAATAAACTCAATTGTTTGACAATAAAATTTTCTTTCATTTGAAAATAAAAACAAACATATTTTACAAATAAATAGCAATTGTTTTCGCGCTTTCTTGCATATCAATACATTTAAACATTTAAATGTATTTACGAAACATTTAAAAATTGTTTATAGTTCTATCGTGAATTTTAAAGTATTACTGACTGATAAAAGTCATAAACAAATTTTACATTAAAAGGTCCTTTTATTTTCATTAAACTTTAACCTTTTTTTTTTTTAATTTTATTTTTCTTATTGATTTGATTTTTCATAGCTAAAACAACTACCATCCTAAAAAAAAAATATATATAAATAAATAAAATATAGGTAAATTTTTTTTTTAATAATATACATTAATTTTTTAATTTCAAAGCGCAAACAGATTTCTGTTATTTACTTTAAGATTGCTTGCATTTTTGCGGTATTTTCGTTTAGCTTTGTTTTTGCGCGAATTTTTGAAACGCATAACAACAAAACGTGGTCAGTTAGTCAGAAAAATTTGCGACCACACGCCTTTCCTGGGAAAGCCTGATATATATATAAATATAAATATAAATATGTATATATATATATATATATATATATATATATATATATATATATATATATATATGTTTAAAAATTTAAGTAACTTAGACTATATAAAAGTGCAATAATATTTAATAAAATTTTGTGATGCAAATTTTAAAAGTTAATAGGATACAGTGTGTGACAAATTGACAAACGTGCACGCATTTTGCTTATGCAAAATTAAAGAAACGTGTTAATTGTTTTTATTTTAGCAAATGGCGTTTGATTAAGATTTTTCAAAACAAATGCATTACTTCAGCAATTTTTTTTCAAAATAATTTTGCGATTAATTTTATTTATTATAAAAACATATTTAAAATAAAAAAACAATAAATTTCAGAGACTTTTAGAAATAAATGCCAAAACATAATTACTTTTCTCAATAGTGTTAATTTTAAATAAAATAACCAAGTACGCTATAGAAAGTAATTATATTTTAGCATGGTTTTTGCATGTGCTCAAAAAAGCATGCAAAATTTTACTTAAAATGAATGCTTTTGCAAAAACTTCAATAGAAATGGTGCTTAAATATTGCGATTGCTTTCTTTTATTGAAAAAAGTGATCATAATGTTTAAGCATGGTTTCTTTTATGTAATTAGCAATTACATAGAAATTTTAAAGTAAATGAATTCATTATAAGTAACATTTTGCATGCTTTTTCTTTTCAATTTTCTTATTTTCCTTAAAGTGAAGTAGTGTTTGTTTGCATATTAAAAATACTTTGAAAAGTTTTTTTATTGTGCATTTATTATTAATTTGGGTTCTTGAAAAATAAAAAATTATATTTCATTTATAATAATTTATTAAACTAAAACTTCATTAATAGCTTTGGTTTCATACAGGTTCGATCATATTCTATTTATTAATGACTCTTATATATAAAATTCATAAACATCAAATCAAATTCAAAACTTTTGAATATCAAATACTTTTGTGTCAAATATAATTTAACAAATTAAATATCTCTACTGATATCTTCAAGTTAGTCAAGCTTATAATAAAGTCTATTTATTAAAAAAGTTGAAGCTAAACGCAACTAAAAGTTAAAACTATAACATAAAAATTTAAAATGTAAAAGTTAAATTAAATTAAAGCAATTGTAAATCTTTAAAGTCCGAGTTAATGGGATTCTTCTCTTTATTATTACCGTAAAAACACCAAGTTACAAACATTTTGAAAAAAAAAAAAAACTCACTTATTATAATGAGTTTCGAAAAAATCAAAACAATAAAAAATATATTAGGAAAAGACGAATCAAACGATATAAAAATTATTTTATGCTAATTTTAGATGACTGACTCGCTTTCAAAAGTTTTTTTTTGTTCCTTTTTTTTTGCATTTTCATCTTTTTGAGATGCAGCAGCAATTTTTTTTTTGCTCTCTAGATATTTTTTTGGCAGCTTGTTTGTCTAGTTTTTGTTTTTTTGATTCTTGTTTGACTTCCTCGAAAGCAATAGCATCGGCTGACGTCATATTATAATTAGCTGGCCGTTTAATTCTTTCACCTTTTTCCTTTCTATTATCTAAATGTGTAGGTAAATCTTTGAGCAACATTAAAATTGATCGGTTGATATCTTTTCCTGCCGTTTTCATATCATTTCAGCACATTGAAATATTTAGAATCTTCTTCATAAGACATTGTTTTGTCATTATTGGCTTGAAAAGCTAACTTTATTTGAGCTTCTTTCTCTATTTTTTGTTTGGATTTAGCTGCATTCATTTCTTAATACAATAAATAAGTAACTCATTTATATACACAAGATAATGAGTAAATAAATAATAATTATATGTATCAGGAATTAAATTAGTTAACAAATTTACATGCACACAGTGACGGATCCAGGGGTGGGGAGGATGGGAGAAATGCACCCCCTCCCCACCAGAATCTGAAAGTCTTAAAATATTTTAGAATTGGAGGACCTATTTTTTTTTAGGAGACACAAATGTGATACAAAATACAAAAATATTTCAACAACCCACTCCCCCACCACCACCACCAAAATTTCCTGGATCTGTCACTGCATGCACAAGATTATGCATGAATAAATGATAATTACCTGATTATTTTTTTATCTAAAATGTTTTATGACGGAAATAAAAAAAAGAACAGCTAGCTAAACTTACTTTAATGGTTACATCATCAAATAGGTTTAAATTTTGATTACCGGGACTAGTTCACCATTCAAG